AGCAAAATGTAGGAGATAGATCATGTCAATAACTTGAACCTCATCCTTACTTTTCTTATTTTGTGTGTAATCTGTGAAATTTATACTACAGTAAAATGTTAAAATCCCTATTTGGATCTTTTTTTATGGGAAAATACCTTGGGCGTTGTAGGTTTTCATAACGTCAGCTTGATGGCAATATTACAAATGTTTTAGATGTTAATGTTAAAGGTATAAATATATATATATACATATATATATTTACTGGGTCTAAATTTCTCTTCAGAAATTCAAATTAAGATTTTTGCAATAGTGGAAATTGCTTTTGCACCTCCACTGAATGGAAAAGTAGGGGCATCTCCAACTTTCTCATCACTTTAACACTAAAAGTCTTTTTCAAAATCAATACAGGGAAAACCGGGACTAATGAATGCTTTCTGTTTAGATCTAAATCTACTGAGACCCTTTTTCCTTCTCCAAACTTTTATGAAATTGTGCACTAAAGATTTTATAGAGTTAATTAATAATGATTGAGAGATGGTTGACCTATATGGCACTATGTAGATGATATTTTATGAACATATAGGAGCAGCTGCTCGTAATTCCCATGTATTAGATATGAAGAGAGAAGCAGAACAATTTCAGTCCATTCCCATTAATCTCTTGGAAATGGGGCTATGATGTATTTGCTGATCAACAGTGTCAAATCCTGCAAAGAAATCCAGTTGGAAGAATTTGAGAGAATTTTACTTGCTTATAGCTGGAGGTCATCCATCAGGGCTCTAAAGTTCTGTTAGTAGCTTGACTTAAAATGAAGCCTGTCTGACAAGGATCCACTATTCTGTCAGCTGACAGGTGGCAACAGAAGCTATTTTTGGTATCTTTTCAGTCAGTGCTCTCAGAAAACAGGTAGTTAATGCATTAAGCAATCATTTTCAAAATTCATATAGTTAAGACGTGCTTTCTTGTGTGTGTTTAGATTTTCATCAAAGTAGTAGATATTTTTGAGTGGACGTTAGATCATACGTGGTGCCAAGATCTCCTGCTGCCCTTTGACTTTTAGCCTTTTCCTTGTCTCTCATTTTCCCATTGTTGCTTCTTGTATGATTGCTAGAAATTTCTGGAGATGATTTTTTAACTCATTTTTGTTCTGTTTTGTTTTCTGGGGAGCCATATGACTGCATTTTGGTTATCCTTTTTTGTGAATACAGACATTTCCTCACAGAAGTACTTGAATTTTCTAGCGCTGCGAGGAAGCAACCTGGGTGTTCAGAGTTATGGGATGGAAAAATGTGGTGAGCTGTGACTTTGCTTCCTTATGGAAGAGAAGTCACATCTCTCTGCCTTCTTTACTGGCCGTGACATAGGTCTACAGTTGCTTATGGGACTTGGGGGATATGGTAAAACCTTTTCTGTTGAATTTCAGTGTAATTCCAAACAGTGTGAACTTTTCAAATCACTTGAGAAGTGCCCCAGATGGTGTGACATTCTGCTTCATGGGAAGATTTGAAAGTATTCCCTTTGCATAATTTCTGGTTAACTATTTCATTGCATTTGCAATGGGAGAACACCAAAGCCATGAACTCTGTTGACATTTTGGCGGTGTTTGTTTAACCTCCTAGTACATGGGCTGCATTTGTTGAAAAATATTATTCTTACCTTTGCAAATCATTGGTAATTAATTCCCTTGGAAATATCTACTGCTGCACATAGCCAGGCTTGGGAGTCTGCTGGCAGATCATAATTTAACATCAGGTGCTAACCCAATTGATTATTACATTTTGTAACTAACTGATTTATAGCAGCAACTTCATTTCTGCATCTCTCTAATGTATTAACTTTTTGTATTTTAAAATAATGCGGAGCAGTTGGATTACTTTGTAGCTTCTAATGGTGAATTTAGCACAGCATGCAAGATCTGGATGACTTGCCTGATAGTAGGTTTAGTGACGTGTCACAGGCTTGTGAAGTGCACAAGATATTCAGTAGTTTTTAACTGAGATATTCACAATTAAAAATGTCCTTATTAATTGTACATGCTTTTTAACTTTCAGTAAATTGTAGCCACAATTACCAACACAATGAGAGTTTTCTACAATTGCTGCATAGCTTGCAGTTTAAGCAGTATATTCTCTAGTCTCGGTCATGCTGTGAATGAGAAGAAACAGTGACTACATGCTATGGTGGAGCAGCTTATGTTCAACTCCCAGTACATACTTAAATTGTAATGGTAGAGCACATTAGCTCACTTGGTGTGATGTAAGTCACTGACTGAAGACATTTTAAGGAGACATAGGGGTAAATCTGCAAAACACTCTGGAAGGTTTTAACTATACAGAGTTTCCAGAAAGATCAAGTAGGCGTCGTGGTTAAAGGGAACGCACTTGGTAATGTCAATACTAAGAAAATTTTCCATTGCTGATGACATATTTTTGTTAGTCTTAGTTGTTTGTAATTCTGCATCAAAGGCACTACTTGAAACCAAGGAGGTTTTTTTGTTTGTTTTGTGTTTTTTTTTTCCTTTGGGCTCAGGAGGAAGCCTAATGTAGATCACAGCAGTGTTTTTAATGAACTTGTGAAATCAAGGTCACAGTTCTGCTATCACTTAAAAATACTCCCGTCATAAAGCAGAGCTGTAGTGCCAGATGTGTGGTGTGAATTGTCAAGTATCTTAAGAATTTTGTTCCTGCATAATGATACGTTCAGCGATACAGAGCTCTGCACCACTGAGATTAGAATCTGTCATCTGTGGCTGAAATTCATAACCATGTTATGACTGTTACAGAGGTGATGTGAAATAGCTATGTAATCTCATTCCATTCCTGGTGTGTGAATGTCCAGATCACAAAAACTTAGGTGACAATTTTCAGTAATTGGACCTTTGCTAGCAGTGAGATGTGAGATACTGATAGCTTTGTATAGATGGATCCAGACCTGAGAGGTGGTTCTTTCTGAGCAGAGATGATGCACAGCAGCAGTAGCTGCTGGTACAGCCCTTCAGGTTTCTTTTCTGTGACGTTTACTAGAGAAACCACTTTAAACCATTTAAAAACACTAACACTGATTACGAATATAGGTATTACTTTTTCATTAGCATACTTATTTAAAATGTGTCTGTATTCATTTTTAAATTTCTTCACAGATTTTTAATAGGATAGTGTAGGTATTTTTAACTTTACAGTCTCTTTAAATGTCATTACCTTTATTAAAAAAATAGAACAAAATATTATTCAGAAAATAAAAACCTCACGACTGAGGCATAATTTTATTTCTTTTATACAACCCTATTTAACGCACTTACAGTTTAATAGTGACTACCTTTTATAGTTTTATAATTTTAGAATCCTCTTTTTAATTAATTGAGCTGGGAGATTTAGGTATAGAGCACATATTTTGCCTCTGGTAGTTACTGTGTAATTAGTATTAATGAAGGGTATTACAATCTGGATAGGTGGAATATACCATTGCTTCATTTGTGGGTCTTTTCTGTCTAACTGTGGTCTGTTATTTCATTCTGTGTAGTACGATTATCGCGTAAAGTTAAAATCTTTCTATCCAAATGTGCCACATTTGCTTTCTTAGGAAATGATGATGATATTTTCTACATTACTGCAGTACTCTCATGCCCCAGTTCATATACTAAAAACAGCATCTATGCTGAAGAAATTTGTTCCTTTTCCCGGGAGATTTACAAATCAGTAAATTAATTCTTGCCAGAACTTTCCATAAACTTTCAGAAGAGATGATGAATCATCCGAAGTTTCCCCACGTACATTCTCAGCCTTCGTGAGGCTTTGTTTTCCTCTTGGCAGATGGATCTTGAACATGCAAGATGAACTTGAATTTAAAGAATTTTGATAAAATATACCTCAAAGAGTTGGAGATCTTTTTTAAAATGCGGTCTTTTGTACCCCAGCAAATGGCCTGATCGCGCAGCGTTGAGTGAGACGGCAAAAGCAACACCTTTGTGCAAAGTGGTTTGAGCTGAAAGGGAAAACCTTGCCTTTAAAAGGACGGTCCCCTTTTATCTTCAGTTTGTTTTGCAGACGCAGCATGTATAGGAAGTTATTACATGTGTATCATTGCCCAAAAGGAAAACCAGAAATTCAGCACTTCAGAAAACAAGCTCCCAAAACACAAAGATGTTTCAGCCTGCATCTGAAGCTTTTTGTTATTTTTTTTTTGAAATTGGCACAAGTACAGATATTAGATTCTTAACTTCTTTTAAAGCCAGATGGTAACTTCCAAACAAGGTCACAGTTGAAATTCGGTTTAATAAAGACATGTAGTTTTCTGGTTTTCTGCTTTTGTCAGTGATGGTGCACAGATCTCAGCGTTCAGATAAGGTGTGCATGATTCTGCTGGAAATGTTTTCGAAATCTGGACTATCAAAATCAAGGCTTTTAAACGTGCCTGAAGGATCCTAGATTCCGTCAGGTCTGTTTGGCAATCTGTGCCTTTGTTTTTCATCTTTTCCACAATTCATTTTGCAGATGTTCAGGAGCAGAAGTGTGTGCCCTGTTTAGCCATTAAGGAGAAGATCTGATGCTGGATCTCCTCTCTTCTTCATGAAGGGCTGTGAGGAGTGCTTGAACTGAGGGCAAGCAGCTGCTTTTCCTAGCTGCGCTTCATTTGTTATCTTTAAACATAGGGTTTATGTTTGGTGATTGATTTTGCGTTTGTCAGAGGATTTCATCCATTGCAGTGAAGATGAAATAAGCTGGAACAGGCTACCCAAACAAATGCAATGATATTAATGTTTTGGTGTTAGAGTTGCACTTAGTTCTTCACTAAATCCCAGTGGTGGCAAGTGGCCCCAAGTGCCTCATCAGTGCCCTGTGGTGGGCTCTGTGTGGAAGCAGCAGCAGGCAGCCCTACCCTCCTCACACAGCTCTGCCCTGCAGAACAGAAACCTGCACCCACGGTGTGCACTTGATTGCCACAGGAGTTCAATTAAGTGCATTTTGCTGAGCTGCCTTTCTCTAGACAGTTTTAACCCGTAATACTTTTAATTGTTCAAGGCCTCTTCACATTCTGGTCTGCAATGCCGCCGTGTTCGGTGCTCCATGGAGTTTGACAGAGGACGGCCTGGAGTCCACCTTCCAGGTGAACCATTTGGGGCACTTCTATCTCGTCCAGCTGCTGGAGGATGTCCTGCGCCGCTCCTCCCCTGCCAGGGTGGTGGTCGTGTCCTCAGAGTCACACAGGTTGGTTAACATTATGCTGTGGTTTGGGTTTAGCTGAGATCTGCCATCCTTACAGCAGAAATGGTGATGGCAGAGCTGTGTAAGTTCTTAAAAAGGAAAGCCCCCTGTCTAAAGCATTTGTTGTTTGAATAATCTCTTTAAAAACAGCATTGCCAATGTCTTTGGATTTTGCTACATTGCCATATGTAAAGTGTGTTCTAGTTTGTAGGTATTTTTTGATCATTCTTTGTATGAATGCAGATTTTCACCGCATATCAGACCACTTATTGATTTCGCTAGGAGATGGAATAATAATTGATTAAATCTGAATGGCATGACCTATATTGATTTGTCATTCAACTACTTCAACATCTTACCAAGAAGAATGTGCAGTTATTTTAGTAGGAGAAACAATGCAATTAAAAACTACTAGATGAAATCCAATTGTTTTGTAATGAGAAATTAGGGAATTCAATGCAGACATTAGCTGTATAATGTAACTGGGAAATAGTATAGTTAATACACATTAGAACACTGGCCATGCCTCTTTTGGTGAAAGTTTTAATTAAAATATTAGTTGCTCGTATTTCCTACTGTCATGAGAAGTGCAAAACAGATGTGATGAGGTTTGCCTTATTTCAATTGTGCTGGAAGTGCTTGTTTTAATAACTGGGAAGAAGGTTTTGATATAAATCAGAGAATTAGAGAGTTCCTTGTGCAAAATAGAGGCCCCAGTTCTGAATTTTAGAGAGTGCAAACTTATGGCTTCTGATTTAGTTCTGGAACTCTAAAATTAGACCCATAATGTCTAGCTTTAAACATTGTTGTTGATTTCTGTTTCACTTCTGGTCGTGTGTAACATCTTTAGCAAACCCAAAGAAAAAATGTGTGAGCGGTGGGTTTTTTCTTTTTTTTTTTTTTTCTTTTTTTTTCCCCTCTTTCCCTGCCTTCATATTTCTGAAATGTTTTAGTGACCCAGCATGAAGCTTATTTTTTTAATCATGTTTCCATAAAATACAACCCCAGGGACCTTGTAGAGAGAGACCAGCCAAGGGTCAGGCTGAAACCTTTATCACTTCCAAACACAGGGGCTTATGGTATAAATGACACACTGCAGATAGATTTACTTTTACCATTTTAAATTTATGATGGCTGAAATGAAAGAAGCAATAGAAAACGCCAGTAATAATCCTCCCCGGTGTTAAAAGACATGAAATGTCTAGTAATTAGGTGGTAACAAAATCTGGACATCCTTATCTTTGCAAATCACACCAGGTCTGTGAAAGCAAGTAGCAGAGTCCTGTTAGGAGTAAGGGAGGCTACTGCAGGGCAGGCAAGATAGCTCTAGAAATAAATCTGCCAAGTCCAATCACTTGCCAGATGTGGATGGCACAATGGGATACGTATAAATGAGCTGTTATTTAATGGGAGATTATGTTGAATTGTCAGCTGCTTGTTCCCCTTTGTAAGTTTGCATCTGATGGTATTTTAAGTGACATCTTTGTTTTTCACTATATTAAGTGCTATGTATAACTAGAGCTTACAGCTCTGAACATCTTTATCTGTTTTTTCAAAAGCATTTTTTGAAGTGTTCATTGCTAATTTCATTAGGTCAACTAAGGTTTGTAGAAGCCAGTCAAAAAATAAGCAACAGCCTATGCTTGAGTAAAATAATCAATGCATCTACTTGATTTCCCCCTTCTTCCAATTCATGTCATATCTTAGCATTTAAAATGATCGTCGTAAATAACTCTGGTTTTGCCCCTAATCAGTTTAATGGCAAGAAGTTGATGTAAGGAGTTAGTTTAGACATTAGGTATTATTGGATAGTAGTACTTTCTGACCTACTTGAGAACTCTGTGCCTTAAACTATGTTGTAAAACAGAAGTGTTGGTATCTAATTACTTCCATAAACCTTGGCTAGATCTTTTAGCTGGAGTCAAGACCCCCTGTTAGGGGAAAAATAAAGTCCCATGTTTGTGGAAAATATTATACTGCACTGCTCCAAGGCAAGATATTTATTTGCCTCTCTGGTTCTTCATTCTTTTCACTTATCTGGATTCAACACAAATGAAATCTGTTTAAATTAAGCTTTCCATACTCTAAGCACATCATATGAAAATCAGAATAATAAGTAGGTTGACTTTCCTTCTGTCTTTATTTCTGTAGTTAATTTGATTGAACAGTCCTTATCCTACTGAATTCAATGAGATTGCTGACATAAGTAAGATTGACTCACTTGAAGGATGGGACTCAAATTATGTCCGTGTGTTTCCATTGTACAGTATACAATAAGTATTAAGTATTTTATTTATAGATTATTTTTGGTGTCCTAAGTGGTTACTTGAGGGATGAATATAGGAAATTCCTCCCAGAATAGCCCTGTTAATTTCAGAGATGTCTGTTATCTAACTAAAAATTATGATTTTTTTTTATTTGTTTAAATTGAAGGGCCTATTCTGCAAGATATAGGACATTCTGGGTTCCTCTTGAGTTCAAATACTGTAGTTGCTTTTCTCTAAATGTATTATAATCCTGCTCTCAAAATGGAAGTAGAAATTCCAGCTGATCTCTTCATTTCTGGATATGAGATGCAAAATTAGTAAAGATATTTTAAAACATTTTTCTAGTGTGTACTATAATTATGTTTATCCCTGTTCTCCCTAGCTGATTCTGAAACCCAGTATTAAAAAGAGCTTGCTAAATCTGTTTTATTTTTAGTAGCTCTTCTGGGTGGACCATGAATCTGTAACTAAATATAGTATTATTTTCTGATACTAAGATAATCTAGTAAATTGATATATCAAAATTGTAAGAATTGCAAAATATATTATACGAAAAATTCCTTCTCTTCATCTAAAAGTCTTTACAACATTCCCTACTTTATTTAAAAAAAAAAAAAAAAAAGAAAGAAAAAGAGAAAGAAACAAACAGCTGGTGTTTAATGACTCTGTCAGACCCAATTAAAAAACATCAACTAGTTACTTTGATTTGTGTTCAGTCATGCCATGGGTATACTTAAAAACATTATACTCTGCCAGAACTCATTTTGGCTTTGTTTACGTTTGTCTTTTAAACATATAAGACTATTGATGGCAAGTTGCCAAGGTTATAACCCCTTTATATTCATCAATTTTTAATCTAAAAAAGAGTCTAAGAGGTAGTGAGACTCATCCATGGTTACTTCAACACTTAAATGAAAGTGTTCAGTATATGATGAAATAATCAGGGGAACGGATTAAATGAAAGGATGCTGTTTTTCTCTGCTTCCATTTTATTCTGCATTAATTCCTGCACGTTAATTGTGCTTTTGTGGAACTATGGCACATTTTCCTTTTTTGATTAAAAAGAATGTAACTCATAAGTTCATAAAATGCTTTTAAACATTAAAGCCTTTTTTTCAACTTGTTTTTACTTATTATATGTGTCTGCTAATTATTCACTAATTTTACTGCTATATATATGGGGCTATTCCATGGGCCTTGAGCAATTTCCAGTAGATACTTGCAATTGCCAAATATGCTGATATTTTATTTTGGTTCTGGCCAAGTTCTACTCAGTTATCTACGTTTTATGTTGTTCTTAATGAGAGCAGAATTAACTCGGGTATCTAAGGTACATTTACTGTTTTTCAGATTTACAGAGATTAAAGATTCCTCTGGAAAACTTGATTTCAGCCTGCTTTCTCCATCTAAGAAGGAGTACTGGGCTATGTTGGCCTACAATCGTTCCAAACTTTGCAATATACTGTTTTCCAACGAGCTGAACCGACGCCTTTCTCCCCATGGGGTGACGTCTAACTCAGTCCATCCTGGAAATATGATTTACTCCTCCATTCATCGTAACTGGTGGCTGTATACCCTGCTGTTTACCTTGGCTCGACCTTTCACCAAATCCATGGTAAGTGAATGACTTAACAGTATTTTACACATCTTCAATTTTCAAATCAGGGGAGTAAAGTTATAAAATTCCAGATGTATGTATTTGCCTCGACCTTTTGCCTTTTATAACTGCAACCTTGATTTTAATGACAAACATAATGTTGAGATCGTGAGTGGTCTAGTAAAGGTTACTTCAACCATTTTAGATTAAATTTGTCAATCTGCTGTGAAGGTATCGTGTTGGGTAGGTTGAGTGACTCCCATGTTTGAATATGTGATTTTCACTTGCTCTGATTAAGGTATTTGTGTATATAAGGTGTGGGATAGTTCAGAGTCATTTCTCTGTTCAGTGTTTGTAAAACATCAAAAACTACTTTGGTTTTTAAGTGGAATATGCTTGACTGCATTTTTTATGTAAACAGATGTCCTAGTTAGAAAAGATACTACAGACATTATTAATGGCTGAGGAAAGTGCTTTCAGTGGTAAAAGCACCTTCATTCATATTTAAAAATAACAACAATGATTTTCATGATTCTTTTAAAGCACCAAAGGCAGTGGGGGTTTTTCCTTTGTCTTCACACTGGTCTTTGGATTGGGACAGTAATGTGATGAAAGGCTGTGCTACTCTTTCATACCCAACATTATGGAGCTTCATTATATAAAACATTTCAGCATCTGCAGTGCTTGGAGAAGGTTGCTCTTATCTCTTGATCCTCTGACACAGGATACTTTTTAAGGAGTCCAAAAATGAGCTGTACTTCATTGAGAACTGGCTTCTTTTTGACATTGTTGACTGTTTCTTATCCATTTATATTTTCATGACAAAGAATGTATTCCCAACAAGGGAATGAGGGGAAAGGAGTCTTCCTTACTATTTGCTTCTAGGACTCAGGGAAATTAAAAAATTAACGTCTACGCAGAATGTAGCTAGCCATAGCAATTTGGTCAGGCCAAATAAAGTCCCTTTTACAGAGGACTTAATGACCAACACAAGCAGTTGTTTTGTAATGTCTACTATGTCCTGAGCTAGCGATAGAGGCCGAATTAATTGCTTTTATTTGAAAGAGAGCAGAGCACAGAAGCAATTGCTGCTGCTTGATCTTACCTGTAGAAGTGGAGCAGGCGATCTTAAATTTTAGTGAGTTAACGTAAGTGGAAAACACAGAGTATTTAAGACTCTGGTTATGTGTCCAAAAATGAACAGCTTTTTGAACAATACTGGATTTTCAGTAATGCTAATGGAACAGAACTATAAACACCCTTTCAAGCATGGATGTACTGACAGTGAGGCAGTCGGAAGAGTCTTCGCACTTCTATCCTCAACCTGCAGTTTGCAGCCAGTATGCATCCAAAACCTATTTATGTCTGTGAGTTTGGTAAGTGAGCATTTTGGCATCTTGAGACAAGTAATAATGTTTTTCAATAGCATGTTCTGAGTTAAGGATAGTTTATAAAACAAATTCATTAAGTTCTACTGAGAACGGATTAATGTATGGTATTACCAGTCAGTGAGAACCATCCAGTCTGTGGAGCTTTTACGAGCTGTTAGTTTTATTTCCTCTGACATATTTTCACGGAGGAACTTGTTGTGTTTGTTGCTTATGTAAACTTATCCTCTAGAGATCAAAATAAAACACCAATGTTCATTTTGAAGTCTTTACATTGATAGATTTTTTTGATATTGTCTTTTTATTTATGAGTGGTATGTAGAAGTGAATACAAAATACAGTGCAAAAGATACCTACCCTGAAGATCAGTGCACTCTGCTCTTAGCCTGATTGTTTCAGTAAGTCCTTTGGTGGTGAATGACAGTAGAACAAGGGGCAGCGGGCTGAAACTGGAGCACAAAAGGTTCCATACTGACACTAGGAAGAACTTTTTTACTGTTGGAGTGACAGAGCACTGGAACAGGCTGCCCAGAGAGGAGTCTCTTTCTCTGGAGATAATTAAGACCCACCTGACTGCCTACCTGTGTGACCTGCTGTAGGGAACCTGCTTTAGCAGGGAAGTTGGACTCAATGACCTTTAAAGGTCCCTTCCAACCCCTACTCTGTGTTTGTAAGTAATTCACAGACCATTTGAGTGTTGTGATGATAGATACGGGTGAGGGTAAGCATCAGTCTTGTAAGTCTTTGTGCTGTTAATTTCTATATATGAATTTATATCACTAATTTTCTTGCTAACTTTGCTGAGGGCTTCCTCTCAGTGTTTGTGAGACATCTCACCCCATAGTTTAGGTGAGCTTTGTGGTCAGAGTAGTTATCTTAGAGCTTGAAGCTGCAATCCTGAGGTTACGAACTGTACGTTCTTGTGATTTGCAATGATGTCTGCATTGCACAGTGCAGAATGATGCAGCAACATTTAAAGAGGTTACTACTGAGCTGAGTCCAAACCAGGAACTGGGTGATCCATATCTGTGTGAAAAAGGTAAGGTTTTTTCAGCTCAGGGAAGGTGACTGTGTGACTGTCTATCTGTGCCAGTTTTGTGCTCTCAGCCAATAACTTTTACTGCATTATTGTGGCATTTGGAGACCTAACACTGCTGGAGCCAGTGTGAAGTTTTTTGAATTATAGTCTCCTGGACTTTGTGCAGATACATTCACACACATATATATGCAAATGTATGCACATACACACATGTGCATGCTGACTGGAGTTGCACGTAGCAAATTTTAGCTGTGGTGTTTTACAACTATTTTTGTAGTAAAAGTTGTTAATAAAAAATAATTAGATCTTTAATTTGTATTTTACAAAGATGGATTTACTACATTTTGTGAGAGTGATGGATTGTTAGATTAATGCGCATAGTCACAACTCTTTTGGAAATGAAACTACAAGAGAAAATTAGGAAACACATTTGATTCCCTACTAGTTTGTTCAGAAAATATAACTCTTATGTTCTGCCCTGGCTCTAAGCTGCTATGGAGAGTATTAGATTTTTGTGCCTGTGACTTGGTTTTCATTATTTTCTATGGCTCTTATAAAATTTTCTGTATGAAATTTCTCTACTACATATTGTAGCAGTTCAGTAATTAATAGTTTTATTTCCAAGGCTGATCAAGTATACTGTATATATTTGAGAACACTGTTTTAATTGTAGTTGTTCCCTTCATGAATGTTGAATAGCTCCATGTTGGTTTCCAGGGATGTAATATTTTCTCCAGAAATGTGTGTTTTTACATAGCATGAACCTCCATTTTTGGGAGAGCTCATCCAGCCTATGTAACATGGCTCTTGGGATACTCAGTATGGCAGAATTTAGCTTAGGAAGTACTGCTGGTAGCTATTCAGCTTTAATTGATACCCTGAGGCACTGAGATGAAGTATTCTACTGTCAAACTTTTTATCTGTTTGCTGTTACTCAGTGCAACTGTGGTGACTCAGTTTCAATAAGTGGGACACTTTACAAAGTCAGGTAAGTTTAAGCTCCACTTAAGGAATAGCACTGAAGATCATCCTTCTTAACTCTGGACTTCCTAAAAAGAGCAAATTACTTAGATACCAACCAGTGATGAGTGGTGTCCCTCAGGGGTCAGGAATGTGTCCCCCCAGCCCAAAGAGCCAACCGTATCCTGGGCTGCATGAAAGAAAGCATGGTCAGCAAGGTGAGGGAGGTGATCCTAGCCCCTCTACTCTATGTTGGTGAGACCTCACCTGGAGTACTACATTTGCATGTGGATCACAGTACGGAAAGATGTGGACCCGCTGGAATGTGTCCAGAGGGGAGAGACAAAAATGGGGATGGAACACCTCCCCTCCAAGAGCAGGCTGAGAGAGATGGGGCTGTTCAGCATGGAGAAGAAAAGGCTCTGGGGAGATCTGCTAACAGCCTTTCACTATCTGAAGGGAAGCTATTAGAAGGAGGGGGACAGACTCTTTATCAGGGTCTGTTGTGATAGGACAATGGGAAATGATTTCAATTGCAAAGAGGAAAGATTTAAGTTGGATACAAGGAAAAACTTCTTTGCATTAAGGATAATGAAGCATTGAAACATGTTATCCACAGAGGTGGTAGATGCCTGCTCCCTGGAGACATTCAAGGTCAGGCTGAACCAGGCTCTGGACAATCTGATGTAGCTGTTGTGGGGAGTTGGACTACGTGTCCTTCCAATGATTCTGTGATATGATTGGTCTTTCTCTCAAGTATGAGGCTTTTAGGTATATAATTTTAGTTGGTTCTGTTAGTGGTTCATATCTTATTAAAAGAAATGCAACTTTATATTTCTAAAACTGTTTGAATGCTTATAGTTTAAAAATTATGGTTTGTTTGTGCTGCTTATAAATAACTTTTCTGTTGAATCACAGAATGCTGTCTGGGAACTTTTGAAACATAATACAATATTTATATTACTGATGCATATAGGTGTAAAGGAAGTACTTATATTAAGTAGAGCACTGGAAACTGAAAGACTCTTCATCCTTCCTTTTCCCTCCCCCCACTTTCAAGACCTAAAATATACAAGGATTTGTTAGAACTGGAGAACAAGTATTTTTTGTAGAAAGCAATAATTGTGAATAAATTGCTGTTTTATTACTATAGCAACTGCAGCTCTACTAATGTTGAAAGGATCTGTCTTTTACTTACCTCTTTATAGTTACTCGGTAAATTGGAGAAGCTTACCATATAATTAAATGTAAATTGAAACAAGCACCCACTGTAAATAACAAATTGAAAGAGAAACTCTGAAAGGAACATACTCACAGGCCATGCGGGTGCTTAGTTGGTTTGATCTAAGATTTGGATTTTGTTTTCTTGTGTGGTTTTTTCTTTCTTTTTTCTTCTCTCCTCAGCCTCTCTTTCCCTTTTCCCCTTTTTCTTTCACTTCTATTCAACAACTAGGTAACTTCATTTGTTTTAAATTAATGTTAGTCATTCAGAGTCCATTTGATGGTTTTTTTTCACTAGTTACAGAGAAGAATAAAATTAAATAAACGTATCAGCTTTCAGCTTAAGCTCAGTGTTATCTAATGTCACCTGCAGATAATTTTGTGAGTGTACAATAGCATGTAAAATAAGC